TGCTACATCTCTATCGAAAAGGCACATACGTCGTGAGGAACAAACAAGTTAAATTTTAAAGTTGAGAATATGAATTGTATGGGTAAAAATTGACAAAGTAGTGGTTCACATCGTCAATTATAAACGTTTCAGTTCATTTTTCGATGATTTTTATTAAAGAGAGAATGATGAATGTTGTACAGTGGCACAATACTGTAACGAATTAACGAATTTACTGTCTTAAACAAATTTATTTTCAACAATATTTCACCATCACAACTAATTTATATTCAATACTTAGCAACTAACGCTTAATTTATCTTCACTGTTCGAATTCTTTGTTTACCGTTCGATTCGTTTTCTGAATTCATACTCCCTCTCTGAACGGGAAGCCGTCCTTTCATATTGGTAACGATCGCTCTAGATTCCTCTAGGGGTTTCGGTACTCATCTATACTTTTCGCGGCGGTTCGCGGTGAGTCATGTGTTTGCTGGCTGAGATATCGGTCAGGGCCGGCTTCAGATTCGTTACAATACTTTCGAAAACAGATGGCTGTAAGTTCATTATGTGTAGAAAGGAATTTTATTTGTAACCACTGAACATCTACTAGACAGATTAATCTGTCAACAGGAAGGAGATCTTAATCATCAACACGTCAACCTGACCGGTAGCCGGTTGGGTTGACGTGTGAATCGACCGCTGTGTAATTCGGTGGTGTGTGCATCGCAGACCAGACAATCGATTTCCACTTGCTATCGTTCAACCCGTGTTGGGAATCACACGTTAAAAGGTAAGACCTCGTTAGTTCTTAGCTAGCACAAGTTTCGACTTCTAAGTGTTGTGGTTTGTAGGGGGGCGACAGCTGGTTAAAGGTAAAACAGATTTAAACAGGCAGACAGAATTATTATGTCTATGTTGAAATTCAATTAACAACTATTTCATGACGGTTGATTGAATTGGTGGAGTTTTGTATGAGTAAAAATATTTGTTTGAAATCACTTATTGAGTCATCAGACCACATATCTCATAGGAGAAGACATTCATCAGAGAATCAGTTCCAGGGACCCGAACAAATCAGCAGAAAAGTAACAGAGTTTCACGTTCCTTCATAAATGAGCATCCAGAAACCCAGTCTGATATATCATCCCAAAAGGTATATTTTCTTCCATAACCATTCCGAAATTAGCTTATATTGCTAATATCGAGAAATGAGATGATGATGTTAAAAGCATGTTGCAGCTTTCCAATGTAACAAGTATCCAATCTTTGATATTTAAATTATTGAGGAGAACAAAAAGAAAAATATTGCCACATTTGATTCAGATCCAGCACTGGAGCTCTTCAGCCCAGGGAGAGCAGCGTGCTGACTGAGATGTCAATTTTGAAAATGAATTGTAATAGGACGACTTCCTGACTTGTGCTTGGAGAAGTAGAAGTGAATTGAAACTGTCCAACTCTTGATTTGTCCAGTCCAACCTAGTTTGAGTGTATTTGTGTACAGCAGTTTACTTAAAAAATTCACTTTTTTGGAAAATAAAACATATTCTGTCTCTGACTGCGAACCAGGGTGGTCCGGAGATCCACATGTATGCTAAACCTAAACATGTAAAAAGAGCAGTTTCTGTATATCTGTTGTTTAAGGAACTATTGAAAACATGTAGGATTGTGGAATATTTTTATGAGAGACCAATTTTTTTGGCAAAAGCTTTTTGGCTTTCGACTTCTCCATCATCAAACAAAAAATGTAGAACTCTGTAAAGATATTCAAATCATACATCAAAGTTCCTTTCAGATACAAACTGGAAAGAAAAACCATTTTGAAACAACTACTTTCACATGAAAATTGAATTACATGAAATGAAAAAAATCCATTTGTAACAACTACTTTCATATCAACATTAAATCACATGATAATTAATTACTTTTTCATATTCAATTTGTACATAAACATTCCTAATGGAACTGAATCAGATAGCATTTACAGGAACTAGTGTCCAACCGAAAGTTCGGTTTCAGTCGAGTTTCGGGAGTTCTTGCGTTGTGATCGGTCATGTTCGGCGCGTTGAATTTCATACAAGCGACGAAGACATTTTGCCGCGTTCACGTGCCTAATCATGCCCTGACTCGTGACTTACTTTGTTTATTACATAAATATCAAGTACCTGGCTTTCTACTACTCCATCTTGATACAAAAAATGTGGAATTTTCCAAAGAAAGGAAGTAATCAAATTTGAAATAAGTAACTGTATACATGGATGTGTCGTGTAAATCTTCGGAAGATTCCCACATTTTTTATTAAGTACCTGTTGTGATATTAGGTAAGAACTCAAATAAGTAATTTTATGTTTAATATTTTTGAAAAACCATTAATAATAATCAAAAGAAGAATTTACACCTACTCAAATATACACCTCACCTGTTTCGAGTATTTTTAAGGTGCAAATAATATTTTTTGTTGAATAAGGGGTTGTTATGTTGATTTGTTGATTATCAATAAGTGAAAATGTCGAAGACTGCATAACGTTGTGATTTAAAGATTAGAAATAAAGACTGACTGATTATAATAACGTTTTCTTTATTTTTCCCTCAAAACATAATCCTTGTAAGGAAGTTTCGGCCTGAGACCGTTGGCGAAATTTGGTTTCGGTCGTAAAAACCAGTTTCGGTCGGACATTATTAGGAACACTACACAATATTACATATGGAAGAATATTAACGTAAAATGTTACTTACATGGAATACTATCATCCTCAAAAGTGTACTTACAAGTTTCGGGACAAGACACTTGACTTATCAGCTCATTAGCACCATTTTGGATAACATTACAAAATAGGGCACTCATTTCTTTCACATTTGAAGTACTTTGAGTAGGATTTCGTTTAGGGTTACAGAAAATTTTCAACTGAAAAACTTTGTTTACTCCATTTTAACGATGGAGGCCATCATTCATAAGGAGGAGGCATGGGTAATATATGAAATGCCCCTTCCTCAATATATTGAACTAATTTGAATTTTGAATACCCTTTCTCAATGATTATTATTTAATATCTTCAAATCATTACATTGTTATTTCATTGTAATAAATATTGTGAAAAGTATCATGATTCCTTGGTTCTCAATTCTTAGTTATTGGTTGAAAATGAGATTATTATTCTGAATTTGACTGTCCTTTTCCTTTCGGAAAGTAGTCTAGAGAGTAAAGGCGCCTTAAGAGCAAATGATATTTGTGTAATTTTTATAAATAAACGTTTGAAGTATTTTAATGAAGTGATTTATTCTTGTAGTTTGAACTGATTCTTTTTTAGTTATCATAAAGACATCAAGTGATAAATAACCCTCTTCAGTTCAAACCCGACTAAATTCATACACAAATAATACTGAAGGAATTATTCACTAATCACTTACTTACACTGCCAGGCATACATTTAGGGTCACCCAATGAGTTGAAGTTATTTTTGAAATTCATGTTTTCATTTGGATTATTTTGATGTACCATACTGTACTAATGAAGTGCTTCAAAAACATAGTTGTTGTGGTATGTGCGATAAGTGTATGAGAAAAATTAGCCTTCGCCTGAATTCCTAAAAACCACTGTTAATTAACTTTTTTTTATCTGCCAATTGCCCTTAGTTTGTGGAATGTTGTCAATATTGGTGTACCAAATTGAACATAATATCTGTTGTTGCGGCAAGGTAGGGCTACAACAGCTAGGGATGACCGCTTTCTCATATGCAAATATGAGTGAGTGGACATTTAGGAGGCGACTCCATGCTGCTGGATTATCTTCTCAAACTAGAGATACTGGACCGCCGCTTTCCCGAGAACACCGGATTGCAAGATTGATTTTTCACGAGAATACTTGGCTTGGACAATAGCGGATTGGAAGCGTGTATTGTTTTCCAATGAATCGCGATTCTGTCTTACGGGCTCAGGTAGACGTGTACGAGTATGGAGACGACCAGTCGAGAGATGTGCTCAAGTGTGTACTGCCGAGCGACTTCCATTTGGATCAGTTATACGCTCGCACGGAGTTAGTCTTCATTGAGAATGGGACATTAAATGCGCATAGTTACCTGATGGAGGTTCCACAAGACCATGTTTTACCACACTTGCCTTTTTTTTGTAGACGATGCAACATTTATGCATGAAAATGCACGGCCACACACTGCGGAAGCATGTGCGGCTCCCAGAATTTCTGAGCTACCAGACATACTGATACAAGAATGGGAAAATCTTCTGCAGAATGTAATTCAGAATATGATCCAAAGCATGACTCGTCGCTTGCAAGCTGTTATCATTGCAAGAGGAAGAAAAACCCCTTACCGAAGCCCTTACATTTTTTTAACCAAATGCATATTAGACTACAATTGTTCATTTCCTAGCATACTGAAGAGAAATTGTTTATTTTCAGTATTAAGAAGTAAATTTGGACATCAAAAAATTGTTTTTTGTTTTTTGGACTCGGTGAAATATGACATTAGGAAGATATTCGAAAAAAATCAAGAAAATTTAAATAACTTCAAATTACGAAGTGACCTTAATTTTATGCTAGCCAGTGTATTAAAACCGAACACAAATTTTGGTATGCATAATATTTTTTTTAGTGAATGCAATAATAATCTTAATCGCCCTCGATTAAAATTACTAAAGGTTCTTCAGTTTTGCAATACATCGTTTAGTCTAGGAATGTAGGCTTTCACGGCTGGCGTCATTGCTTTGGTTGGTTTCTGGGTTTTGCCGTGGTCTATTTTGGGTATAATCTCCAAACGTTTCAACTGCAATTGCGGCAGTCATCTTCAGTGGCGTGGTCGAAGTACTCTTCTTGACGTGTCAACTGAAACGTTTGAAGATTATAACCAAAGAAGACCACGGCAAAACACATCAATTAGTAGTTTTTGAGAATTTTGAGAGGTTCATTTTAGATTGAAGTGTATGCATATATGTGAGCCAGTCGATTCGCTGGCATAACAACATAAACATTTCACAACATAAACATTTTTTTTAAATATAAAAAAAAATACCTAGAACAGGCAATCCTATTCTGAATATGTCTGCATCATATCTTGGGGCATCTTCGGCATATACAGAATTAGGTCCTCCAGATATGATTATTGCTTTATAGCCTTCTTCTTTTATTCTGAAGGCTGGTGTATCTAATGGAAGTAAATCCGATTCAACGCATAATTCCCGCACTTTCCTATCTATCACTTTTCCATATTGTGTGTCAGCATCCAAGATGCAGAGTTTCTCTGTATTTGTGGCCCCATTTACAGTGAAGCTACATCCTGGATTCGGAATATCCATAGCTCGTTGATACCTGTAATATTAATGAAAATACTTTTGAAAGTCTTTACATTTTTTAGTGAATAATTATAGGAAAGTAAGCGCCACAGACTTACGAATTAGTTGTATAATATTCTGTCAATTGATAATCATAACACACGGCAAATACAAAATATAGTTTCACAACCACACAAAAGTAAATTTTTAATTCGTTTATAATTGTCTACTACTTCTTAGACAACCAGTAGTACACGCTGCCTATTGTATAGCAAACTATGAATACGACACATATAGTAACGTACTCTGGTACTTATGATGGTGGTCACGGTCGTAAGTGTCTGTAATGAAGTAATGCGCTGTGAAATGAATAATCTTAATCACGGAAGTTGTATCATTAGTCTTCCCTGTAACAACGAGTTATACACGGCGTCAGGTTACTGATAAACCTTCGCAGGTTTCTGGGTTTAGAAGGAATTTTTTTTTTGTTTTTTTTTTCAATTGGAACCTTGTTTGTTGATCGGAAAAAGGGTGCCGATAGTAGTGCTAAAAATTGAAAACTGTTTCAAAACTCGAATCGATTGTGATAGATGGAAGATATTTTCCCCAAAAAATTGATTCATTTGCGAAGGTCATAGATTTGGATAGCAAAGCCAAAGATAAAAATGTTTTTCGTCCCTAGTTGGAGACGACGGTCTTCATTTATTTAACAGTTTCACGTTCGAAGCAGGGAAAGATAAAATTTTGAAGGAAATCAAACAAGACCACGTTGATTATTGAAACTTCTTCCTGACGTTTCGCTGCCACCAGTGGCTAGCTTCTTTAGAGGTTTATATATACTGAGTATCTCCGATGACTGGGTATTCCGACTGTGTGAAGCATATTAATGTTGATCCAGGTAGAACATTCTTTTCTACCGGGAGTCGTAATGTTTGTTATTTTTGAACTTCTTAGAATGGGATTCCATATTCGGTTGAGGATCACAGCTTCTTCTTTTCTAATTATCCGTATGATTGTGGATCTCTATTGTCTCCCTTACCAGTCGGCTATGTTATCCCTGGTTGGGGGCAATGAGTTTCGTGTTTTCAAACAGAATCCTGTGGTTTCAGTCACTGAGTGCGTATTTCGCTACAGCCGACTTGCCCGTTTGACCTAGTCTGCAGTTTCTTTCATGCTCCTTCAGCCTTGTTCCCGTGTGTTATGTATTAGAATGAAATAAAACGCTTCCGGCTCACAACTATACATATATTCCTAATTCCAAAACCAAACCACAACTGAATTCCGTTTCCCACGAGTCGATAGCTCATGTAAAAAAATGTACAATAAAAACCTTTGTTTTTATACATGATCCGATATCTAACACCGGGTATCTTTTGGTGGTACCTATGTATACCTTTCCACAAGTCCACGGTATGCGATATACCCCTGCTGTTTTTATATCTCAGGTCGGTTGTGTTTTGAAGAAATATCTTTTGTCGGAGATGTGTTAGAAACAGGAAAACACCAACACTTTTTGAATGAGTCCTGGCGCCACAACAAGACAACTATTGCCAACCAAAAAGTATCAATGATTTTGATGACAACGAATGCTTCATTTCAAGTTAAAAGTTGTTTATGAGAATTTTGTACATACATAATTCTCCCTAGTTGATCCAATATGTGATCGGATTAATTACCAGAGTGTTTTATAGAGGGTGTTATAGACTGTTTGCAAGGCATTACAAACAGTACATGTCAAAGAAGATGAAAATATGTCCACAGATTGAAATTATTTATGAAGTATATGATATGTTTTTTAATTATGACTCCATAAGATCAAACAAGTTCTATTGAAAAAGTTAGGTGAATGTTCAAATTTCGCGGTCTACGTACATTCGATTAGAATTTTTTTATATGTTTTTATGTTGGTACACCCGTCTCGAAAGTATGTTCACAGTTTCAGCTGTTTAACATGTTTAGCTTGTTGGTGAGAGGCATAAGAGTTAGAAGTGTCTTGGTCGGCGATTTTCTGCTATCGAAAAACCTGGATCGAAGAATTTGCATCAAGTTTTGTGTAAAAAAATTACAAAAATACTCGAAATGTTGACAGTGGCATACGATGATTATACTATTGAGTCGGAAAAATGTTAATGACGATAATATGTTAATGACGATGCACATCAACAACCGATGAAAATGCAGGGAAAGTGAAGATTTTTTCAAGGACAAAAAAACAAGCACTACAGAAAAATCCTTAAGGTGCTCTCAGGATTTTTCTGTAGTGCTTGGGGATTCACATTGGATTTGAATCGCTGGAGATTGAATCCATATGAAAAAACGTTCTCAGGAAATTTAAAAACCACAGTACTCCAGATAAAAGAGTTCTTAAACAGATAAGTTCGAGGTGTAATGAGTTGAACCTCAAAACGATGAGCAGCAACAGTCCATCGCGTATTTCTGATATGTACCGCTCTTGGTGGAATCAAATGTGCCAAGTCACTTGAACGCTTCCCGTGAAAGTATCTATAGAAGAAAAACAAATCTACAACCTTTCTTCGATGTTCTAGGCTATCACGGTTGCACGTGATGTTCGCGTCTCCAATCAGGCGAATGGCTCTTTTCTGGATGGAATCTAGCAACTTCAGAGTATGTTTAGGGGCAGAGCTCCATACATGAGAACAATACTCTAAAGAAGGTCTGATCTAAGCTTTATAAAGCATCAAAAGTTACTGGGGTACAGTTTTCTGCTTCGGAACAGTGTTCCAAGCTTTTGAGAAACAGCCTTTGCAATTCCAGCGACACGATTGTGCCAAGACCTATTGGTGTCCATTTTAACCCCCAACAAACTTATCGAACCAGGAAGTGGAGTTGTCTGACCTGACATTATTATATCCGGTTCGGAGACATTTATCTTCTTGGAGAAAACCGATGCCTGGGTTTTTATAGCATTGAATTGAACCCGGTTACTTTCACCTTAATTCGAAATCTCTTCTAGATCCTCATTAAGATATGCAACCTACTGCTGCCGGTGAAGATGTGCCTCCGTAGCCGATGTCCTGGAATCCAAATAGAATGACGAGATAAGTGTGCTGTTGCTAGCAAAGCAATATATTTGATTCTTGGTTTTTAAGTCGTTAATATACAATAAATAGAGGGTTGGAGACAATATGGTGAAAGTATTCGAGAGATATCCATCGACGGCTACTTGCAGGGAACGTTCTTTCAGGAAGCTGAAGAGCCATACACAAAAATGATCCGACAAGCCATAGCATCGAAGTTTGGCCAACAATCCCTCATGCCACACACGGTCAAAGGCCTTAGAAATATCAAGCACAACAGCTCTTGAGGTTTACGACTTTTTCCATGATTTTTGATATCACTGATAGCAAAGCGACTGGTCTATAGTTATTTGGAATATTTTTCTTGCCCTTTTTGTGAATAGGCTGAACGCGAGCAATCTTCCAGCAAGAAGGAAAAACCCCTTTCTTGTAAGACAAGTTGAAAATTCTGCAAAATACTGGTGCGAGTTAATTTGCGCACTTTTAAAGTACGATGACGGGCACATCATCAGGCCCAGACGCCTTATTGATATAGAGTTGTTTCAAAATTTGCCTGATTCGATGTCGAAAAGTAATTTCCAGCATTGTGGAGATTTGAACGTCGATTACGTCTCAATTCATCTTTATATAAACAATATTATGATTTCATGGCCGACTACTTGGCACAAAATCACATGTCTCTCATTAAACAACCAGCAATCGAATCTGGATCGTACTATATCCCACATCATTGTATTATCCGACCAGAAAGCGTTATTACTAAACTCCGTGTTGTATTTGACGCTTCGGCAAAAACATCTGAAGGAATCTCTCTGAATGATACATTGCTGATCGGCCCTAAACTTCAGAATGATCTTGTTACCATCTTGCTAAAGTTTCGTATAAACGCGGTAGCATTGATGGCTGATATTCGCCAAATGTATCGGCAAATTTTAGTCGCTGATGATCACAGGCATTATCAACGAATTCTTTGGTGTTTTTTTTGTGATCAACCTATTCAGGAATATGAACTGAATACTGTGACTTATGGTGTTTTTTCAGCACCATTCCTCGCAATTCGAACGTTATTGAAGCTCGCAGAAATTGAAGGCTCTAATTTTCCTATGGCAGTTGAAGCTTTGAGAACTTGTTCATACGTTGACGACATTGTAACAAGTTGTGTAACTCTCGAATCTGCTCAAGCTCTCAAATCACAACTAATTGCTCTACTCAAATTAGGAAGGTTTGAGTTGCATAAATGAAGAAGTAACGAATCGAAATTGCTTTCTTCTGAGTGTGAAATTGGTTCAAAATCTCTTGACCTGGATGAATGTTCCACAACAAAGGTTCTCGGTCTCCAGTGGAATTCTTCCCAGGACATATTTTCATTTAGCATTTCTGCTCATAACACACAATGTTCTAAAAGGAATATACTTTTAGACTTGGCTCGTCTATTTGATCCACTAGAATTTCTGAGTCCTCTGACTTTATTCGCCAAAAGACTCATTCAACAGTTGTGGACATGTGTTATCGGCTGGGATGAATAGCTACCCCAAGATATCCATAATGCTTGGACTACTTTCAAATCCGACCTACCTGCCATCTCGGAAATCAGTGTTCCTCGGTACCTATTTCACCCATCAGTTACCAATTGCACCTTACATAGATTCTCTGATGCCAGTGAGAAAGGATATTCAGCAGTGATATATTCTAGAATTGAGGTAGATGGAATTGTTCATGTTCGCTTGGTTTGTGCTAAAGCTAAAGTATCTCCCCTCAAAACCATCTCGATTCCAAGGTTAGAACTGTGTGGAGCTGTACTTCTTTCTGATTTGTTTGCTTTCGTTAAATCCTCTTTTGACCAAGAAGTTCCTATCGACTAGATTGTAGCTTGGTCAGACTCTTTTACGGCTCTGGATTGGATTCGTTCGCCTCCTCATAGATATCAAACCTTCGTAAGTAATCGTGTCAGGCATATTCAAGAACGACTTTCGACAGATGTGTGGTGTTATATGCCCTCTAAGGATAACCCAGAGGATTGTTCT